ATCAAAAAGAATTTTCGATTTCGTCTAGTCAAAATTGAAATTAGAATTTTTCCAGTCAAAATCGAAATTAGAATTTTGACTGAGATTTTGTTGGACAAAATTCTAATTTGAATTCTGCCTGGGCAAATTTTAAATTTGACTGAATTTGAATTTTGACCACAACATATACATATATAAATATAACATATACATATATAAATATAATATATACATATATAAATATTTATATATGTATATATTATATTTATAATATATACATATGTAAATATAAATAAATTATTAACAAAATAATGATAAAATAACAATATATATGAATAATGAATTAATAAAAATAAAAAATGACGATGTTTTTTTATTACTGACATTTCGAACATAACACGTTCTTCATCAGAGTTGAGTTTGTTGTTAAATGATACTACAATATCTGTTTGACCTTTTTCCTTTTTTCCTTTTCTTCATTGTTCTGTTTCTTATATATTCATTTAATACTGGCACGGACAAGACAGTAACACTGGTGCGTGATTATTCTTCTTTTTTCATCGTCCGTACCAGTATTACTGTCTTGCCCTACCCTTACCTAGTTGTTTTTTATTTTCGATTAATTCTTTGATTTGTTTTTCTTTTTTGTATAATATATTGTTCCAGCTTCTGTCAATTGAATCATATTTGTTGATTGAGTTATTTATGATCGAATAGATAGCTTCCTTCTTCCGTCGTTTCCAATAATTAGTTTCGTTTTCAAGAATAAACGCATCGTTTGGATCGAATCTACAATGTCCATTATTAGAGATGTGATGCTTTACCATTTCTGATGGAGATTCTTTATTATTTGCTTTTATAATGGTTTTGTGTTGTTTCATTCTATCCTTAAGACCCACCTTGGTTTCACCATTGTAGATTGCACCACAGTTGCAGTTGATCTGATATATAATTGATTTTGATTGAGGTTTTGGATTAGAGGTTGCTAATGAGTTCAACTTTAATGGATATTTGAAATATAATTTAATGCTGATTTTTTCTAATCTACGCTTTAAAACTTCTATACCTTTTACATACGGCAGTGACAAACTTAATTTTGTTTGTATTTTAGGTTTTTTTATCTTGTTGATTATCATTTGATTTATTATTGCTCTTTTGTAAACATTTTTGGATGGTTTTTTCAATTAATTGTTTTGGATACTTCGATTTTATTAACATATTTTTCAACTTACTCAGGTCTTCTTTTTGTTGTTGATGATTCGTAGTTGTGTTAATTATTCGTTGTGTCATGTTTTTTATAATGTTTAGTTTTATGGAATGATGGCGGTTTGACTCATAATGTAAAAACCTATCGTTGGCGGTTTCTTTCCGAAACCATCTTGTTTCTAGTTTGTGTTTTTGAGAGTTTCTACTTACAGTGATATCTAGGAAATTCAACTGTCCGTTTTTTTCGTACTCGGAAGTGAATTTTATACTTGTTCTTTTTGAATTTAATTTATCGACATATACTTCAAGTTCGTTCTTATTCATTTTCGTGATTACAAACAGATCATCTACATGCCTAAATAATTTGTGTTTTATTTCATGTAATTTTTCTTTTATGTATTCGTCCATGTATAGATCTGCTAATAACGGTGATATAACACTACCCATTGGCAATCCTTTGATTTGTTTATAGTACTTATTGTTAAATGTGAAATAGCTGTTATTCAAACATAAGATCAATAGCTCTTTAAGATCGCTTTTCTTTAATTTTGATTGTTGGAATTTTTCTGATTTTTTAATTCTTTTAAATACAATATTAGTCGCTTTACTAATGGGAACATTATTAAATAAATCTGTTACATCTAGACTTACCAGACGGTCGTTTTCTTCTAATTCAACTGCATTAATTTTTGTGATAAATTCATCCGTATTCATAATGTTGTTATCGATTGTTTCTCTCAATTGTTTAATCATATTAAATGTGAATCTTGAAATATTGGATAGGAAGGTAGATCTGGTGCACGTTATGATTCTCATTGGATTACCATCTTTATGTATTTTTGGTTGTGCTCTTATAGATGCTAAATTATCGTTTGATTTAAACGTCCATTTTTGTGCTTCCGTAATTTTTCCTTTGTTGAACAATTTGGTTGTTAAGCTACTAATTTCCTTTTTTAATGTACTGGTTGGATCTTTCACTTGTTCATATAATTTGTTATCCTTCAGTTTTTCTTCTACCTTTTCAAAATATTCATCCTTGTTCATAATAACTGTCTTGCCACCTTTGTCTGCTGGTACCACAATAATGTCATTATTATTTTTGACTTCTTTTAACAGTCTTTTTTCTTGTTTTGTAATATTGCTTTCTGATGGTTTCTTCCACTTTGTTGCAAATTCACTTATTTCTGCAATTGCAGCCTTTTTTAAGATTTTTGTTGCAGCATATAAGGATTCTTCTGTATTGGCTATTACTTCAATGATGTTGAGGGAAGAAGGTGTTGGTACAAATTTCAGTCCTTTGGACAGTACTTCCAAGTGTTTATTCGATAATTTTGCATTTGATAGATTGATTATATTCGTGGTATCCATTGTTTTCTGTTTTTGAGATTTTTTGTTTTTTATTTGACTTATTTTTTCTTTATTGTTAATTAACTCTTGTATCTTCTTTTCATGTTTTCTTCTTAGCTTTTCTTTCGGTAGCTTATCGTGTTTGTTCATCCATAGCAAGTCATACACATGCTGGCGTTTTGGTTGGGATTCTTCTAGATATAACATGAGAATTGAATTTTGTGTAATTATTTCAATATTAATAATTCTTTGTTGCATCTGTCTATAATTTAATAAGTTATTTCTTACTTTAATACTTGTATTGTGAATTAACCGAATATTCTTGCTAGTTAATATCGTTGTTTTTAAACGTAAACCATTCGCTATTAGTTGGTTCCTTTTGCAATCTTTCAGAAATTCTATGTGTTCATCAATTTTGACCTTTTTTTGGTACAATTTTTCAATGTTTTTTGCGATGGCATAGATTCTTTCTCCATATAGGGTTCTGAATTCATTACGTTTTAGTAAGGTTGTATTAATCATGTTAAAGTTATTATCTCTTCCTTGTTTTAATATATCATATAAATTTATTATTTATTAATTTCAAATTATTATTATTATTATTCACAAATTGTCAAAGATATAAAATATAATATATACATATATAAATATAAATAAATTATTAACAAAATAATGATAAAATAACAATATATATGAATAATGAATTAATAAAAATAAAATATGACGATGTTTTTTTATTACTGACGTTTCAAACGCAACACGTTCTTCATCAGAGTTGAGTTTGTTGTTAAATGATACTACAATATCTGTTTGACCCTTTTCGTTTTTCCTTTTCTCCATTGTTCTGTTCCTTATATATTCATTTAATACTGGTACGGACGATGAAAAAAGAAGAATAATCACGCACCAGTGTTACTGTCTTGTCCGTACCAGTATTAAATGAATATCTAAGAAACAGAACAATGAAGAAAAGAAAAAAGGAAAAAGGTTAAACAGATATTGTAGTATTATTTAACAACAAACTCAACTCTGATGAAGAACGTGTTACGTTCGAAACGTCAGTAATAAAAAAACATCGTCATTTTTTATTTTTATTAATTCATTATTCATATATATTGTTATTTTATCATTATTTTGTTAATAATTTGTTTATATTTATATATGTATATATTATATTTATATATGTATATCCTCCCGGTCATGAAAAACCGAAAGGCTTGTTTCTTTGATTTCTCAATGATGGAACATCTTTTAGGTCCCATATTTATACCATAGATAGACCTTGTGTTACTCTATCTGCTGGCAAAATTTCAGCCATATACATCGAGCGTTGGCTGAGAAAACGAAAAATCGATC